CCTCCCTCCAATAACAGCGTGGCACACCCATCAGCAGTATCGGACCTTTCGATATTGGTATTGTATATTATCGATATTATTATTCTGTACATAAATTCTGTTTTAAATTCAATAAAACGGGCTGAAATAATAGAAAATCTGACGGTCGCGCGCGTTTCCTCCAGGACTAGCGAAATGGTGTTTTTGTCAACGGGTGGGGGGGGGNGGGGGGGGGGGGGGGGGGGGTGAGAGAGGAAGGGTGGAGTTAGGGGTTTTTATCGGGTCTCTGGAACTTCGCGGCCGGACCGTTATTAAACGGCCCCGGGGAATTCCCGTTCGGATCGAGATTTGTCTACGATGGGATCGCCGCCGCCGTCGCCGTCTCTTCGTTTCGCAACGGGCCCGATAAACACCCGGCCAATATTTGCTGATATTGCGACGAAACGCGCGAATGTCCTTGGGGGAATTGCCGTTCGAAATACATTTAAAACAACGGCGGTTTTGCCATTAAATCTCCCGGAGTTCTAGCCACTACGCGCATTTAGCCCGAGAAATCTCAATTTATAGTTTATATACAGTGTGTACGCAATAATAAGGATCGCATCTGCAGAGACCATCCGAGTGTAATGGCAATGCAATCGTACAATAATAATAATAATAATATATATGTATAGTTTGCTCTCGGACGGATAAATTACTATATAAAACCGTTTTTGATCTATACGTATACAGATTCGAATGTCACTGTTAAAACGAAATTTCGAGTCCCAGAAGCGTAATAAATTACCAGCGCGGCAACACCGCAGTAGGCAATAATATAAAAATGTTAATTTCGATACGCATCGGACTGTTTTATTTTTTCTACGGCTGAAACTGGAAACCGAGTTTTTCAATCAAATTTATTGTAAGTACACAATTTCGAAATAATAATAATAATAATAATAAAAAAAAAAATCGAAAACTCGAAAAGATGTAGGTACTTATAAGAAAAAAAATGTGCACAATTTTTAAATTAAAAAATAATAAAATGTAATAATATGCACGGCCCGACGATTCGATTTGATTATAATACGTAATAACAAATATTATTTCGCATACTATAACTATACATCGTTTATATTATTGGGTGCAGTGATCCGAGAGAACAGTCAAAGTCAATCGACGATTGACAATCTGGCCCGTCAAAATCGTGGAATGAAATTTAAACGTCAAGCGCGGTTTTTTTTATTTTCTTCTGAAAACAATATTGTTATATTATATATTATTTTTGTTAATATATTTTACGCCCAATGTGTCCATAGATATATTAAAATAGATGCGTTGTATATTACGCATAACACGTATCGAAGCCGAAATTGATGTGTTTGTGTGTGTGTGTGTGTGTGTGAGAGAGAGAGAGGTGGTTTTTTCATGGAAAAAAAAATATTAACGTTTTCTTTTTCAGTGATAAATATGAGAAAATCATGTGAAAATACTGTAAATTGCATAGACTCGATCATAACAAAAGCGACTGTTCAATCGATTTGTTTTAAATAATACGATAACGTTTTCACGTTCACGAGACGCATTATGTATCCATCACTGTGTAACCGGTCCGAGGATGTAGAAAACCAAAGGAACGATTACATAAGATGTAGCGCAGACGTGGGATCGAAAGTAGATTGAGATATGAGAGAAAATACACTGAAATGGTTTAGGCGTGTTACGAGGAGAAATGAATCAGAAGCAGTTATAATCACGATGAAAATAAACGTAGCAGGGAATAGGGGGAAGAGGAAGACCGATAAAAAGAAGTTGGTTGGATTCGATGTAGTTTTGAGGACGGCAAGTGTATGCGAGAACAATGCGCGGGTCAAGCGGAAGTATAGAACGAGAGTGGCCGACCCGATATAGTTGGGGTGAAGGCGAAGGAGAAGAAACGTGGAGAACCAAAGGGTGCGCACAGTTCGTATCAAAACTTTGTGGCTTTACGATTATTGCCGATCTGTGCATCTTGACGTGTTCATTACAGGTACAAAATATTGTACAACAATACGACGTTACGTTAAAACGTCCTGCAGGAAAAGAGCTCCGCGTATAATTATTAAAGACGCGCGTTCCGGTCCGGCGTCACTCCCGGGCGGTTGCGAAACGAGGGAGACAGTTTACGTTTGTGCAAACAGTAAACCTCGTTATGATTGCGGCCGGTGGGACGCGCGGCTTTCCGTTTTATTCCACTCTCGTTTGTTTGCCAAATCATTAGACATTTGTGTGTATTTATTTATTTTTTTTTTTACTCGTTTTTTACAGTTTTCCGCCCGTCGTCGTCGTTGCTCGCTATTATTACCCGACAGCAGCCATGTACACACAAGACACAACCATTACTATATCATATCAATATATTTATGCCAGGTTACGTGAACAAATTTCTATAAACTGTCGGAATGCGATGTAGCTTATCGGTTCTATTCGCATATTCTGTGTACATTGATAACGGTAATTGATTTTATCATAATATTATAATAACTCAACATGTATTCACGAAAAAATTAAAACTTCCAAGAAATTAATTGTGTTTGAAGTGGAAATTGTTTTCAATTTTGATATCAATTATGATATTTTGATTCGTGAAGATAACAACACCACTATCACAGTTGCAATGACGTCTGAGCAAAAAAAAAACCGTTTTAAAATTAAATTTTATCCATTCGTAGTATAATTTTTACATGAACATTGTTGTTTCACAATAAGTCGTATAAATTATCGTTGATAATGCTGATGCATTGCCACATTCAATAGACAATACATTATCTTATCGGATCTTGACATATTAAAATGTTGTTCCATAAGTTATAACAATTTTGAAACGATTGTTTTAAAATAAAAAAAAAAAAAAAATCCCTGGGGAAGGTGGAAACCAACAGCAACCTCCTCCCCGCCGTAAATACGTCACTGATGTCGGACGTGGAGCGCTAGTCGAAACCCATTACTTACACCTACCTATAATACGAGCTACGCGTACGTGCAATATGCACGAGTATTAGGTTAGAAGGTAAACGCAAATATTATTATAATGCGATTGTGCGGTATTATTATTTATTTATGGTTTTTTTTTTTTTTTTGTTTTTTACCAAGAACAATATGATATATCTATTTGGTTACGGTCGGCGGTTAACGGTATAAACACGTATTCTGTGTATATAGTTTTGTCTATCCACCCACGTTCGGTTTGACGATAAATTCTATCTATATACTTGCATACCTTTCTTATAACTATAGGGTTGGAATGTTTGTGTGCCGAAAACCGAATGAACGTGTATAATGGCACTTGCGCACTAAAAAATAGCTGAACGTGCATGACGAACGGGCAAAATATTTATTACGAAAAAACATAAAATATAGATAATCTTACTCAGATTCGATAAGTACAATGTTAAATGTGGCGGGGCTTTTCGATATCAATTTTCTACAGAAAACCGTTAGGTTAGGTTGGGTTGCACAGCAAAATAGCCAAAATATAATGTATTGCCACATACTGCGAGACAGTTAACGATAAGAAATCCCGACCTCACGAAAATAATACTAGAATTGGTGAAATTACAATCAAAGTTGTTTGTTCAATAATTTTCAAGCGTAAGTGAAATTTAAAATAAATATTAGATGTGAATTTATTCTGAATATTATACATTCACAGTAAAACCTCCTTATTACGTATACCCTAAAAGGCTGAAATCTTCTTAAAATGGAAATGGAAAACAAAAACAGTTCTGCGTAACCTTTATCCCGCATATTTTAGTCTCCCTATAACGACAACTCCTTTTAACGGAAAAATCAGTCGATACCGTGAGATCCCGTCATAAGGAAGTTTTACTAAACACGTGTTCGGGATTTCGATTTTCAAGATTGTTACTGTATGTTTTGTCATAATTCTTATCGTGCTCGGGATAACAGTATAGCTATCCCACCTAAAAACAATGTTTTTTACAATATGTAAACAGATGTGCATAATTCGGGATAGTTCCAGTCGGTTTCAAAATCGTCCGTTTCTGCTAAAAAAAAAAAAAAAACGGTAGTAGGTTTTAAATGATAAATTCGCTATTGAATTCAGCCACAAATATGTGCAATGCAGTACAATATGGTTTTTTATATATCGATTTCAAAATCACAGAGTAACTAAAATCGTAACCCCATATTATTTTGTCGTGGTTTCGCGATCGATTCGCGTGTAGTTAATTTTGAGAATACAGAAAAACCTAAATTGGAAAAAAAAAAAATAACAAACTACGATATCAAAAATAATACGTAATGATTTACGCGCGCGACGCGAGTTCAATACGTTATCACGTCATACACCCGCACGGGTATTGTTATTGTAATAATATTGTTATTAGGTACCGTCGTCGTATTAATATCGTGTCGTCGGACCTTTTCAAAAATGAAAAATATTTCAATCCAGCGACCCAAATCATTATTGTTGTACCGGAAACACTCTGGTTGTAAATCACTGTAGCACGTATTATTATTATTATTATATTATATAGGTGGGTACCAACCTATTTTTTACTTCTTTATCCTTTCGAATTTGAATATTTCCATTTTTATTACCTGTCCCATTTACGTGCCAATACGGTTTAATATACCTATATGCATATATATATATAAATATGTACGTATTGCGTATACTCGTATAGGTATTTATTGATTTATGCGTCGGGACAAGATATTATAATATCCCATGCGTGCCCGTCGGGTAAACCAATATCGACCCGGGTCGTACGTCGTCGTCGTCGTCGTCGCCGCCGTCGTTCGGTCGTTGGCGGATCGTTTAATTTTCCGTCGCGCGGTTCGGCTATTTACGCGCGCGTTATTAATACCGTACGCTGACGTTATAGGTAATGCACTCATAACGCGCGCGATAAACAATCGGAAACGTACGTTGTGCCGTATTAGGCACGAGTACGTGTGCGGTTCCCCCGGCGTCTTTATTTCTCCGGCCCGGGACCCCGGGCACAACAATACAATACGACGCGACGGCCCGACTTCTAGGTGCGTGTAACGATCGAATCGCCGGACGTTACGAGACCGTATCGTAATAATTCTCCGGTCCCGGGGAAAAATGGCTCGGCGAGTCGACACGAGCGCGTTAAAACGGCGTTGAACACGCGTGCTCTGGCAGTGTGGGCGGGTACGCGAACTGATGCGCCGGCGAACTGTAATGCTGTCGCTCTGTTTGAAAACTGCGTGTGCGTACAATCGCGCAAGTCAGACGGAAAAACAAAAGGAAACGTTACGTTGGACAGAATTATTATTGAAAAAAAAAAAGTCCCGAAAATTGTCATTGTCGATTTGCTTTGCTCTGTAGAACGGCCGTTCGGCCCGTAAGCCGGTGTCAGGCGTGAGCCCACGACTGGCGGATTGATGTTGCCTACGGGAAATTGTGACGAAAGTGCCCAAACGAGATGGCGGGTTTCTCTTGTTGCGAGCGGATTTGCGCCGGTGCGACCAGTGTCGCGGACGCGGGAGTGGGACGACAGCAGATTTTCGTAGAACAGTGTTCTGCCGTTTTTCTTAATTTTGTTTTTTACTGTTTCGACGCGGGCAGAGCGACGTAGAGCGATGTTGTTTACAAACCGAGGCGAGACGGCGATTGTTCGCAGACCAGTTTTTCGTAACCGATTGTACTTTCCTCCTGCAGTTTGAACGTGATAGGTTTCGTCAATGCCTACTGTGGGACCGGAGATACAGCGGAGGAAATCGGAGCTTATCGGTGCAGGTCCCGTGCACACCATTACGTTTTTCGGTTTAGAGCCATGAAAAGTGTGTCCGAAAGCACGTTACAAAACAAGCATCGGTCCGACGGAAGAGATGATGACGTAAGGTCCAAGACGGCGAAAACGGAGGGGCGAAATAAAAACAGTACGGACACAGATAACGACGACGTCGTAAAGTGCGCATCGCGTTAATAAGGGATAACGATTTAGGTACACCGATTTCGGGTATCCGTACGCGTTTATAGTCATTGTTTGTTTAGGACGCGCTGGATCGAGTGCGTTTTTATTCCGTTTAATCGCGGCCGTTTAATGGGCTATCGTGCGTTTAGATAGAATAATAATAACATACGCGAGCATCGTGTATATCCAGACGTTTTTCAACAGTCGGGAACGGAGCTGATGAGGAGATCGCGAAAAAACGCACGATCGATGAAAACGGACGGATATTATAACATAGGTAAGGCGAACAAAAAAAAAAAAAGCATCGTCACTATATTATACACCAGTGGTTATTGACGGGGGCGATACCTCCTTCTCAGGAGGGTATGTCTGTCTCTCGGGGGTCTAGCGGTAGTTTCGAAGAGTTTTTAATAGAAATTTAGAATTCTGTTTTCACTTTTGGCCAGAGGAGGACGTTGGCGGTCAGTTGATCTCGATGACGAAGGGGCGCCGAATCGATAAAGGTTATGAACCACTGTTATACTCGGTATTCGCGCGGTAAGTTTCGGACACTGGCCAACGATCAAACCGTAGAGTAATAATATTGAGAAGCATTTCCTTATAACGTTTATGCGGCGGGTCGGTGTACACACGTAGTGTGTTTTACAGTATCATCGGCTTAGGGATAAAAATATGTTTAAATCAGATTAGATTTTCGGTATAGTATTGTAATATTATGATATCAATGATAAAGTCGTGATTCCGTTTATTATTGGAAGTAAACAATGGAAAGATTACCCAATATTTCAAAATAACTTAGATTACTGTAAATCCTAACATTCATTTGCGCGTCAATTGACAGACTTCTCTACATTACTCGGTAGACCAAACGGGGCCGCTCATGACGGGCGATTTTAAAGTACCCGTTAAGTTCGCTGTTTTAACGGTACGGCGATCGTAACATTGTACGTCTCGGGGTTAAATCGAAAAATCATAACAATTATAACCTGTCCAACAAATAGTAATGACAACGTTATATGAGGTGTGATTTGGCGATTAACCTGGTCATGTTCATCATCGGTCATGGTTATGGTACGATTTTGGTTAACTAAAACGACATGTTTACGGTTATTACGAATAATATTAATTGATAATAAAAAAAAAAAAACACCGGGGTAGATATTATATAATTATTACTACATCGACAATCAAACGTCGTAAACATTAATTTCGGTTGAAACCGAAGTGTATTTACCGAAAATCGCGAAAACAACTAGATTTTCGACACGTTTTTTTTTTTTTCTAACGATCGTTCCGTTCGGAGCGCTCTGCGAAAAGCGAGCGAGTTAAAAAAAAAGAAACCCACACCCATTTCCGAGCGACCGCACAATCGACGCGGAGACAGGAGTGAGTAGCCGGCGTCTCCGGCCCGACCTCGGTTTCCAAGCCGCGGGCCCTAGCGATAAGGGGGATTCCTAATTGCAATAAGGGCGAACGCGGCGCCCGTCCGCGTGCATCGGACGACGGTGTTGTTGTTATTATTGTTATTACTACGGCGCGCGGTCGGATCTCGCTAATTGGATAGCCGGCAACGCGAGACGGTAGGCGCGGTTCCGGAACCGGCGGGTAGGTTACCGCGGAACGCGCGCGCCTAAATAACAATCCGAGTAGTCCGCCGCGGCGTGGGCGATCCCGGGTCCGGCGTCGCGACTGCCGCCGCTGCCGACGTTGCGACGGACGAATCGCGCGCGAAAAGACCACACAGCGAGCCCGTCCGCCTGCTCCCGAATCCCCCGGTCCCCTTGATATAACGCACGCGCACACACGCGCGCGCACACACACACACATATATACGTAATGCCGAGGCGGCGTCGAAGAGGAGTCGAATTACGTGCGATATTTTATTCCGTCCCCCCCCCCTCGGCGTCCGCGGCGGTAGCTTACCGTCTGCGGCGGGGGGGGGGAAACGATTACCTACGTACGGTGCGTAATCGTTTTTTCGTTTTTTTTGTTTTTTCTTTACGGACAACGCCAAAAACATATTTCGGATTCGAACGGGGCTATTATTATCGTTATTAAATTTTTTTTTTTTCAAAAGTGTTCGAAACAAAACCGTTAAGCCTATTTCGAAAATAAACCGTAAGCCTTCCGGTAAGCGCTAAAGTTTTAACGGAATATAGATGACGGTATTTCGGGTAATTTTTAAAGTAGAACAGATTTGCGTTTGTAATATTAAGATTTAAAAAAAAACGAAACAAAACAAAACACAGCGTAACTATTCGGATCTGACGTCGAAAATAATGGTTTCTATTTAAGAAAATCTAAGATTCAGTGGCAACACTAGGATTTAAATTTGTTAAATTATAGCTCAACATTTCTTTGAGGTATAAAGTAAAATATCTGATGACTCAACGACGACGCACACAACAACGAAAACAATGCCGCAGTAATAATAATGTCGCCTAACCTAACCCGCGATGATTACAAGGGCTGCGCGTAATAAATCGCGACACGCCACGTCAAAAAGCCCGCGAATAACACGACCGCGAAACCCCGCGTTTTCTATTTGTATTCCCCGGGGATATTTTTTTTTTATTATCACGTCGTTATATTATAAGATTATTGTTGTATACGGCTCCGTAGGCAGTGCTTTGGCGACGTCCGAAACGTATAAAAACGGACCCGCGAGAGACCGCAGCGGCGAGGAAACTCCGTGTGGGTCGTCGGGCGGGGCGGGGCGGGGCGGTGGAAAAAACAACAAAAAAAAACATTATTATTATTATTATTATTATACGCCTCTGATTATTAGAGAGAAACAAGCCGTCGTCGGCCATCGCCGAAGTTTATAATATAATAACGTTGTATTATATACCTATACATAGGTATCCGGTATACGTGCGTACGTCCCTCAGGACGCTCGGCTTCTTTTCCATCAACGTAAATCAGATTACCGCCCCGCCACGTCCGCGTCGTGCCCGCACGCGCGAGGGGAGGCAAAGTACTCCGTCGACCACTCTCACGCGTATATACCTGTGCAGTAAGAGAAATACAGGGCGGTCGTGAATTAGGTAGTTACGCGCCGACTGCAGGGTGGCAGCCGACAGCGGCACTCTCCCTCTTTGCCCGGCGTACACACTGTAATATTATAATAATAGCACTACTCGACGATAATCATTACTTTATTACATTATTAATACAAAATGCTTGGTTTTAACGGATTACGCGAATGTACCAATAATTAGTAGTAGGTATTAATAAGTTATAGAGGTTGTGTTTTACTCCTACGCGTACCTATAATACCTGTCCCGAGACGACGGTATAACAACAACAACAACAACAACAACAACAACAACTGCAAAGGCGTCGATGAAAACCGTATACGTTTTTAAATCCGTCCGAGGGTTTTTTCGTCTGTCTTACTTCGGGGAAATTTTTTTTTGGTGTAGAGTATTGATCTTTATCTTAACGCTGATTTGACGATGCAATAACATGAATTCCGTCGATTACGATGATATTATCTATAGAAAAACGAATCCGGTGTTACAGTCCTCACGCGGTAATTCTAAAATTCGTTCGCTCTAGGGGCCCCGAAATCATAGTCGATGGCACTAATCGAACGTGTTAACAATTATTTTGCGATTTGTCTATCGATACCAGTGTGGCATGATCGATAATAATAATATTGTCGATTCCTTAGAAAATGCTCCCACCAGCTTTGGCAAACCATTTTTGAAAAAAAATTATTCGCTTTAATAGCTAATTGGTTATTTCATTTAATAAATAATTTCGCATTAATTTTTCGACGAAAATTACGTATTTTTACGATTTATCGTTATCACAAAACTAGCAAGTATGCTAGTACTGCCTACGAGATATTCGCACGACTCGTGCTTGTACGGTAAGTCCATAAAAGTATAAATATTAGAGAACAAAAGAATTGTTGAGTGTAATTATGAGTAGTTTTTAAAAAGTTACTTTCACTTAAATTCAGTTAATATTTTCTTAAAAGTTTCTAACTCAACTTAGCTAAATTATTGTTATTAGTAATAACTTATTACTATTATTATTTTTTTTTTTTTTTAACGACTTATAAATGAAGTTAATAAATATGTTTAACTTTCTGAATTTTGCGCGATACGTTAAGCAAAAGAGTACATCCGAGTAAACAAAAACAGCGCAAACGTAAATCTGTGGATGTGAAGAGGTATGGTTTTCTTAAATAGATGGATGGGTTAAGTGAGTTAAGTAGCTATATAGAAAGTACAGGTACTTCAAGTATAATCAGTTGGCTTAAGTTTATTGATTATACAAAAAGCGAATTATTTAATAATACCAATGCATATTGTATAATATAAACATATTTATATTTTACTTTTTATATACAACTCATTGTACTCTACAGAGAAGTGGTCTAAAACCAGTGGTGACACCAGAATTTTTTTTTTTTAAGAGGGCCGTTTGAAAGCCTTTTAATTTTTGATAAATCCCAACAAAATATCAATTTTAAAAGCTTAAGCTTATTACATAAAGTTATTCATTTACATCTATAAACAATGATTAATAATGAAATACGTTCAATTATATATGTTTTAAAATTTAGTATATATAAAATTCAGAATTGTATCAAAATTTGATCTTGAATTGATTATAAAAAAAACAACTACAATTATGCTCAATTTAAGACAAGGCACAACCTATATAATGAACTTTATGTTAAATTTTCAATCATTTCTGTTAAGTCAAACAGTTTTTTTCCAAATATTACTAATCAAAGAATAACTAAAAAAATGTAAACTGCCTATACAAAATAGATTAAAAATCGCTACAAATTTAAAATTTACCATATTTATAAAAAATTC